AATAAAACATTATAAAAAAAATCTGGATTGCGCTGAAAGGATCTTCGTTTTTGCTATTTCTTATTTTGTATAGATTTAAATGGATTTTAATGGTGTTAATATTAAACAAAAAAATTATAAATTTGAATTTTTCTTTACAAAATTTTCCGAAAACGGCTCCTCTTTCGAGATTTTAGTATTCTACATTTCTGTTTTATTTTTTATTTTAGAATATATATCCGGCCGCTGGGGAGTGAATTATGACTCACCCTGTATAATACAATTTTGGAGTTCTTCTAAATTATGTGGTCTACTAACGTATACTTTGGACTTTAAGTAGCCCCATAAGAAATAGTCCAGGAGTGTAAGATCTGGGGATCTCGCGGGCCATTCTATCGGTCCTCGTCTGCCGATCCACCTCCTAGGAAAACAATTGTCCGGAAAATCTCGAACAGGGCGTGCATAGTGAGGAGGTGCACCGTCTTGCTGAAACCATATGGTGTCATCAGGAATATCAGGGTCATTATCGTTAGGAAAAATTACTGCAAGCGCTGGAACAAGGTCATTTTGTAAAGACTCTAAATATCTTTCTCCTGTAAGGGTTCCTTCAAAGAATGAAGGCCCTACTATTCTGTTGTCAACTATTCCAGCCCACACATTTAATTTTTGTGGGTGTTGGGTATGTGTCTCTGCCATCCGATGAGGATTTTCCCGACTCCAATACCTGCAAGTTTGACGGTTCACTGTACCATTGAGACAAAACGTGGCCTCGTCTGAAAAAAGTATTTGCCGGTGTAAATCTCTATTTACCTGAGATAAATCCATCATAATTTCACAAAAGTGTAAGCGGCGGTCGGGATTGTCTTCATTAAGTTCCTGCACAAGTTGAATTTTGCAGGGATGATATTTTTCCTTCCTCAGGATTCGTTGCACTGTAGTTTGACTAATTTCATTGTTTTAATGCAACCAATCGCGAAGTATTATGAGGATTATCTACCATACTTATCAAAATGTTCTGTTTGTGATCTTCACTAACGCTTGGACGTCCAGGCATTTCGAAAAACTAAATTTGATAACGTTTTTGCTTTATTTTAATTGATTTGGGTTTTCTAACATTCAATCGTCATTTACTCGAAAACTTTCCTATGTATGATGGCAACATTTTAATACCGTCGGATCGACAATGAAACGATCTTTCAGAATCAAGAAAAAAGATAAGGGATTGCTATTTAAAAAAAATGTCGATGACGTCATTACTCGAAAACAAATGACGGTTGAAAATCGCCTTTTATGCTAAAATATGTATTTTTTAAATTAAAAATCGACCTGTTCGAGGATTTTTCCCAAAAAAAAATTGTTTCATTTTTACTGAATTTATTCCATACTTTAGGCGCGTACTGTATATGCAAAAAATATATGATAAAAAGCAAAAGACAAACTCCAGGTGTTCTTAATGACCACTATGATAGAAAATGTTCAGCTTCAATCAAATTTTATCTAAAAAAAAATTAGTAAATTAACTTCTTCTAAATCAGTTTATTTTCATCCAAGGAAGTTACCTTTGAAGTATGGCCTACTTGTTTCCGACCACCCTGTACGCCATACTGAATTTATTCTTGAAAAAAAAGTTATAAAAATTTAAAAGCACACTCCATCAAGTCCACCAACTGTTTACAAGTAAAGGAATATTCGATTTTCCTTAAAAAGCAGTTTTAAAAAGCTTCACCGAAACGATCGGTCTTGAATAATACCTTCACCGCTAATTACAGTCCATCAATCATTAAAATCAAATTATTGTGAAAGCTCCTTGACGGAAAACCGCTAGTTGCAACTCGAAGACGTACACACCATTAGTGTGTTAACACTATTACCCGAACTGACGTCGATTGTGTAACTAAACTGAAGTTTTGTAACGAAATTATTGAATGGTACATGAATACATTAACGGCTGAAGGTAAGTGCTTTAATTATCGAAATATGTTTTAAAGAAAGTTGCCTGGAACGGCGACATCCTTGGGAAAACCGTTCACAAATTGTTTCTGTTATTACAACCGTGACCGATCCCTGTTAAAACCGTGTTACAAAATTGTGGCTGTGTGTACAACGTTCGAGCTCTATTAATTTGACCATATACGTAGACGGAGGCGTCTGAGTCTCGTCTGCACGGCCAAGCCAGACCAAGCCAGACGTGCCCAACTTCCATAAAAGGCGTCTATTTCCCAGTGGCGTAGGCAGAAGTCAGGGGGGCTAGGGCAAAACAATTTTAAGGGCCTTTCCACTATCCTATATAAGGTGAATTTTCCAAACAGGACTTTCCAAAAATAGGTATTTCTAGTGAGGACATCTCTTGGCAATTAAATGCGTCGGAAAGGTAGATCCTTCACTGATGTACTGTCAAAATTTCATGACATTTGGACGAATAGAAGCGGAGTTATTGCGTCTGAAATGACAGTATGTACAAAAATGAGCATCGAACAAAGAAGAAATAAATGATGAGCAACATGTTGATTAGCCAATATCTTCATTGAAATTCATGGAATTTGAATTGAGCATCTCAGAAACATCAATTTATCCAATTTTGCCTGAATATTTGGGCTACCGAAAAGTGTGCTTGTTCCGCAAATCGTTTCAAATTATTTTTTAACAAAAAAAGGGTGATTCCCCAAAGTGTCATATTTCAATGTTGACATCTATAGTTGATTGATTATTTACGTTTTTCTTAACTGACAGTCTTATTGAGTTCTAATGATAAAATCAACTACTATATTTCTAATCATGTCTTTATAGATAACACCCTGTATATCCAAAATCAAAACTATATTCTTGTACATTTGAAAACAAGCAGAATGTTTGAACAAGAATTTTCCCAGTTTTTTTTCAATGAAATGAAAAGGAAAAAAAATATCTTCTATCTCCATCCGTGGGCGCTGTAGTTTTTAATATTAAGATTCCAACACAGCTGAGGCCCTCATGCCTCGATCTGCCCTGCTGTATCTACACCACTACTATTCTTTAATATCGTGCCGAAATAAATAATAGAAGCCTTTAAAAATGTTCACAGTTTTCACATCTACCATTTTAGATGATTAATGAATAATTTGAGGCTACGTGTGATATTTATAAATATATTTATCACCGAAATTTGAGAAATAAAAAACTAATTTCACTCTTTTTATACAGGGTGTTACAAAAAAGTAGGTCAAGCGGTTTAACCGCATTCTTTGGATGGATATTTCTTACGCCACTTTTCATTTAGACGCTTATTTTTGAAGATATAGGGTGTCAAAATTATAATTCAAAGATTGATTTAAGTTGAAATTCATTCATGAAATTTGAAGAGACTTTTACTTTATGCCGACGCCCACACATCTTTAAACTAACAAAATCTTAATATTCTTATTCGAACCCCCTTCAAAGCCCTAAATAAAGATTTTGCAAGCGTGAAAATTATAAAATAATTGCAATGTGTTATTAAAAAAAAAAAAAAAACAATATCTTTAAATTACAAGCACGTACAGGAAAATACTGTAACGATTTTTGACCAAAAGTACACAAAAGATGTGTCATCCAAAGGTAAAAAAAGTATGTCATATTGGTCATTTCAACTGGGTATCTTCAAATTTAACGGAATTATTAGTACAAGATTTTGAATAAGAAGCGTCTGAAAGAAAATAGGGCCCCATTATTTTTACTTAAAATATATGGTTAACGGTTTGACCTACAGTTTTGTAACACTCTGTATATCAGCGTGAGTACCTGAATAATCAGAAATTTATAACAAAATACAGTTTAATTTGTCGTATACTAAATCTTAGATATTAATTGTATGTATATTTATCGTTAGATATATTCTCTTAAGTTTTTTGTGTCTGGTGGGCTCAAATCTAGTAACCGAGCTGGCCAAGGATGTCAGTTATACTTCAAACTCTACTATTTCTGTGTTTATATAATATATTTACTGTGATTTTTTTAAAGAAATTGAAACAAATCATGTTTGCAAGTTATTTTACATTTTTTTTCTACTTTAAACAGTGGTTTTGATAGACCTGGTTAGGAGTCTAGTAAACAATAACAAGATTAGGATTGCAATCATACTGGGGATTTTTCATTGACAGGTAACAATAACTGAAAGATTTGTTCTTAAACTGTTGCTTATACAAAAAAAAAATAGCAGATACTTATTTTTTCGCAATCAGATTGGACTATCTGGAAATTTGTTCAAAAATGTATGATCAGAAATTATACAGGGTCCAGAAATTAGCTTGCAATGTTTTATCAGCGCATTCTACGACCCAAAATCAGAGAAAAAATATATTATATGAACATTGGCAATGTGAGTCCTTGTAAGGTTTTTTCCAAATAAACGATGAAATTCAGAACTGGTTATGACTGTTATGAATTTAATGGTAAAAAAAGTACAAAATTCAATCAGGAGCTCTTTGGGTGTGAATTTTTCCATTTAATTCAAAAATTAAAAACTGTGGAGTGAATAGATGCTCGAGTTTTTGAAAATTGTATACCTTATTTTCAAACAAAGCGAAGGGTACCTTTCTACCATCTAATTGTCCAAAATTTCAAATTTTTTAATAAAAAATTGAAAAGTCCACACACAAAGGAACTAGAATACCTGAAACTTAGTTACAACCCCTCACTTTAAAACGCCCCTTAGAAAAATTAAAAAATATTTTTATACAATTATATTTGCAACTAAACAATAATAGGTACTTGGGTTAAAATTTCATTGTTTTAAAAAAAAATTCTCAGGGGCTCATCATTAACGCCTATGTTCAATATTGCAGGCTAATTTCTGGACACCCCGTGTATGATTACTACAATATTATCTAATGCATATGTAAGAGTCGGATTATGATTTTCCCAAAATGTGTGTCAGCATTAATATACAAATTAGACTAGAAAGTCGATAAATCATCGCAGCCAAACAAGGTTTCAAATCTTGAGGAGAACCGGAACTGAATTTTTTAATTCCGAGATTATTCTCAAAAATTCTTTGGGCTACTCACTATGAAAACGTTCATTTTAGGCCTGGACACAAACCACCAGTCGCACTTAAAACAGTTCGTAACTAGTCTATGACACTTGGGGTACCGAACGTGAGAGACGCCGTGCCGTTCTCGATCATTTCACCAGCGGGGTCAGAATGTGCTTGTGTCGAGGTCTTCGCGCGCACGGCGAAGTCTACCGCGGCGTGTTGCTGGCAAAAACCTACTCGAAGAAGGCGAGTGGGGACGCCAGGTCGTGAGTGGTGAAGACAAATGCAGCGCGGTGGTTATATGGATCAAGGGAGGCGTTTTGGGACCGGACCGCACACGCCGCTATTCCGAATCGAGTCAACCGTGCGCGCCGCGTTACACACGAGGTAGTTGTGGGTTCGCCAGTCGATTGCAAGGTGTAAAATCGATCGCGAAGGATACATACGGTGGCCCGTTTTACTGCAGATAATGCAGAAATCGACCGGATCGTTTGCGTTATTTCTGCGGCCCCAGCGTTTTGTCTACATTCACTGTATTTCAATCTATATATATTGTATACCAATTAAAGATTACTATAACACTCAAATGTCACACTAGTACGAATTAGCACTACCGTTTTTTTTAACAGCTGGCATTTCTCAGGAAGCAGCTTTCGAGGGTTCCCCCACCCACATCGTACCACAGCTGGCTTCAGTCCTCAGTCTGTTATTGTCGGCAAACTAGAGAGTCTGAAAAGTCCGATCGGTGCGAATCCGCACTAGTGTGACTTTACTGTGGGCAAAAGTGAGGCTGATTTTATATCACATAATCTAGAAATAAAGTGAATTGAAATGCAAATTTCCGATTTTTTTCACCTCATTTTACTTTTTGAATGGACTAGATGACTAGAACATTGTTTACATGGTTATTGTTAACAATTTTTCAAACATATTTTTTCATTAATAGTTTAATTGTAACATAATATTGTTTAAGTTAATATTTTTATACAAGAGTGCAAAATAAACATGAATTTACAGAAAAAGAGCCAAACTTAAAAAATGCTTATTTTCGAGATACCGGGAAAAATCGATAATATCGATAATATCATTTTATCAGTGTGTGGTATTTTTTTTCTTAGAAATATAGACTTTGAACTTCAAAATCCTTTTTTTACTCTTCCTCTAGCCATTATTTATAAAAAATAGGAATTTAAAAGAAAAAGTAAATTTTCGAAAAAATGTGTTTTTTTCAATCGCATTTTTTATTAACAAATTAATTTTTTCTTCAAACCTAATTACATCATTCGATTTCTCGGAAAATCTGACCCCAGTTTTTATATAAATACGCTGTTTTCGTTAACAAATAAAGAAGACATAAAGGTTCCAAGTTGGCAAAATCCCAACTCGCACTAGTGTGACATGTAAGATGGCCCACCCCAAGTGTAACCTTTGAGGGTTAAGAACCGTTGAAATAAAACGGTATACTCCACTGCCAAAATAGTAGGCAATGACTCATTCCCAATATCAAAACCATTGCTCGTACAGGGAATGTAATTCCATGGGCGTATCATTTTAGAAGATTCAGAAATATAGAACAACAAATATGTAGATAGGTATGTCGATTTTGGTGAAAACTAGATTATCCCCACAAAATTACACTTACATTGCTGTATCGAAAAATCCAACAGAATTGGACAAGTGGCCCCTGTGAAAAGTCTATTTTCGTAGTGTCTACCACACTACGAAAATAGACTTTTTCGTTTTTTTTTCACATTAAACACATATCATACTTTCATCTTTTATCTTTTTTTAAATAAGGCAGACCAAGTAAATTTATTAATTTATCACAGAAAGTTGCCATTTGCCACATTTCATATAAATATGTATAATCAAATGTATGTATAAACAGAACATCGCAACAACATCAACAACAACAACAGAGCTACGTATTGAGGTTAAAGCTCATGCACCCTTTCAATTTTTCTGATTCGAACATTAAGATCACTTCGATTGCACCCTGCTTTTCATAACAATAATCGACGTATTTCATTATTTCTAGACAATATACCTGAAGATCTTAACAAGGACAGGATATGTTTGTTGCGTTTACCATAGCAGAAACATTCCTTTCTAACTGTTTGTTTTGCAAAAAATCGCTTTCCTTGACAAAACCCATTATTTGCCTCATAATCACGGGTGCTCTGACCCCTGATCACCCACGTCTCAAGCGCCAGTGCCGATTGTTCCCTCTATATGGAAAAATCATAGGCGGCAATGTTAATCAGTTGGATAAATATACATATTTTTGTATTGTTACAAATTGTTCTTATTCCCTTTAAGAAATGTTTAAACAATAACATGCAAAAGTGCAAAAACATTTCGCCGTTCCATAATAACGCACCAGGAACAAAACATTTCAAAACAAAATGGCCCTATTACTAACTTCTGTAACATCAGACATATAAATAACATTTGAACAAATGCAAGAGCTTCCGCTTAGACCGAAAACAAATGAAATGTCCGTTATCTGATGATTTACTATGGCAATTCGTTTGTTATCGATGCAAACAAATTAGCACTTGTGTAATACCTACTAGCGCGATGTTTGGTTTAGGCTTTCTTAATCTTATGGTAATTTAACGACTGCAATGTTTGTTTGGAGTTTGTCGACGCGTCTTTACGAAATTCTATACTGTACAGTAATTAAGTGCAAGGTGGCACAGTCAAAAAAAAAAAACAAACGGGGATGCGATACACTGCCCGACAAAATTTGAGGAACCGATTATTTACGTTAAAGGAATTCGTTCATTTCAACACGAAATATTAAATGTTAAATCTGTTTTATATAGTGTAAACAGACTTTTGTATTATTATCTAATAGAAAAACGATTATTTAAATATATAAGATTATATTTATAATAATATAGTAGACCGACAAGAATTTAAATCAGATACCAGACTAAAATAGACTTTTCCGAAGATTTTTGACGTGTTGGATTCCGATCAGACTTATCTTCAGCATTTACTTAATAGCATCCAGGTACGTAGAAAATAGAAAATATAAAAAGCAGTAGGTACACTTTTTATAAACTTATTTTTGGAAAAATGTTCATATGACATACCCCTGTAAAAGTTACACAAAAAATCGATTATTTTGCTACTATATTCAAATTCTGCTTCTTGTAATTTTCATGCTATCATGACAATGACTAGACGGTCCTTTTTTGCTGTTTTATTAATGATGTATCACTAGCCAACACCGTACAGGTATTTCGCTGATACGATCTTTCAACATGATTTTAATTGCTATCTACCTGTCAATCAGATCTTGATGTTGTTCGCGATTAGTTTTTAAACTAGGATGCGAAAAAAAGGGATTTCCAAACTTAAGACTAACAATAAACAAATCATCACTTATCAATGCTATAATAGCATTCAGACCAACATCGTTAAAAGTTTGTAGTAACTAAATAACGACTTTAAAGCAATCAATTTACTTACGGAAGGGAAAAGATAAATTAGAAAAGTTAATTGTTAAAACTTTATTATATATATTTAAATTTTTGTAAGTGGGAAACTGTATATTTTGTAACAATTTTTAATCATGTTTATTATTTATTTAGTACAGCTATAAACATTGATCAACAGTAAAAATATGGGTGAATATATCTAATATACGATATAGAACAATTGTATCTAAGTACTTTTTCTTGGCAAGCAGTGTATTTTTAGTTAAATGTTAAACATCAGTACCTTATCTTATATAATTTTATTAAGTAAATAAATATTAAAGAGGTTTTGTCCCGACAGATGTTTTTAGGCTTCTTAAGTGTCATCGAGGATATTTTTGTCTTGGGAAATTTTATATTAAAGGTAACATGACCTACAATTACCAAACTGAAAATAAAAACAATGTATCACTATGGTGATCAATCATACGCTTAAACTATAAACGTTATTATAGAAAACTTCTTATTTGTGCAACTCCTCTCTGTCTCTATTACTAAATAAAAGGACAGTGGTATGAGATTTTAGTTGAGCCTCCTATTCACAGATGGCGCAATTAAGGCATAGCCTAGCACGTCACAGTTGTCCACCAAGTTCGTTTCAATTGTACAATTTTTTTTTAAATTCCAGTTAAATAATATCGCAAAAAAATACAGTCGATTCTTTTGCCACATCACTTTATTTTATATCTGAAAAGGGACAAACAATGCGATTTTTGGTAGATTATTTTATATTATTTCCTTTGGATCACTTGAGGGCAGTTGGATTAGCTAAATGGAAAGCTTTTACACGCCTTAACCTCAATATGTAGATAGTTTTATCTAGAGTTTCTGCAAATAGGTACATAGTAAGGCAATTTAATGAATCCAAGTATTGTGCATCAAACTGCAATCTCGCGTTACTCAAACGGATGGAACTCTCCAATATGCAAAATCGTTACGTTACATTTACACCCATTTCCCAACATTATTTTCCCGCAAGTGCGTATTTTATCGAGCGACTCTCCTTAAAAATTACCAATGTACGGCTCACGCCTTGCCATTTTGTGAAATCTAAAATTTCTAACAGAATATAAATGAAAAAGAAACTTTTTCAACTCAACTGTGAATCATGTACGATTTATATGCAAGCAAGTGATCTAGAATACCCGTACTTTAAAAAACATAAGTTTCTCCGGCGAATAATTATTTGCGGAATATTTTATTCATTTCTAGATGTGGTCGCAACTTAGTCAATAACGGAAGAAAGAAAATTGTAAGTAAAAAAACAAATGAAGGTCAAATACATTGCCTACTGCAATTTGTTATATTCTAATTTTTTAAAAATAGGAAAGATATTGGGGGTAATAATTAAAATTGCAAACAAGCATTCTAAATTTTTTTAAAAGGATTACCAACACATCCAAATAGCATCAAAGTGGAGATAATAGGCATTCATTAACGTTTGGAAAGGTAAGACTTTAAAGTAATTTAGTAATCCATAAAAAAATGCATGTAAAGCTACCTACTGAAAATACAAATATGGCAATGAATATATAAATAAATGCTTCAGGTACTTTTGTGTCACATTTACCAACAAATTAAAGACAATGACTCAAGAGGAACAGTGACCTAAATGTTCGAAACAATTTTGCAGACTTACGTCTGAAATATCTTTGCTCACTTGTCTTTAGCAATCAGACAAGGATTTGAGAATGGGCTCTACCTTGAAAGTGGATGTGGTCTTTCGTCATTTCATATCAGTACCAACATTGTTGAAATACTTTTTAATATTACATGAATATTTAACAAAACGCTCTATTCTCGACTCTATCTATGCAAAAGATTAACTTGAACTACTTCTTCAACTTTATTGGTTTCCACAGATATACAATATAAAAAAAGTAGTTTACCTGTATATTTATTTTTAACTAGGCACAAAAAGCTATCTTGGGAACAGAGAGGCGTATGTGATTTCTCTTTTTTTTTAAATTACTATAAAAATAAGCTTTATTTAATGCAAAAAGGACGAATTCCCGAGCGGTATTTGAATGGCCTTAGGACAATTTGTTTATAACGCTGTTTTGCCCGTCCTACTTTGTTTTTTGTAAAGGGCTAGCTCACTTCTTTCGAGTTTTTTTTGTGATATTATCATTCTACGTATTATTGTTCAGGGGCAATTTGCATTTTCGGGTCTTTAAAAAAATAAACAACGTTGATGCTCAAATGTGAGTCACGATCTCTGAACCCATTCCGAATTTCTACTTTTACTCGAAACGCCTTGTCCTACTGAATGCATGAATAATTTCTAATTGTTAATTGTTCTGTTACTTAGAAAAGCCATGTTACAGGGAAGACGTACAATACCGAAATAAAAAAACGACCGTATAACCGAAGGCCAAAGCGGGTGAAAACTTATTACGAGATGAAAAATTAGAATTTAATGGTTTCATCGGAGTTTTGCACGGAATTAATTAGTTCGAGATGTTTCGGCTTGACCTGTCAAGAAGAATAACCGTACAAATTAACTGTTGTGTGCTGTGGTATTCCCCAAGGTCGCGCCCTCTGCTCTGCGCTTCTGATAGAGATGGGTAATTGGGGAGACGAAGACAAACATGCTTAAAAGTGATAATAACGAGCGTTCAAATAAAAACGTGGTCAAGTTGGTTCTGAAAATTTGGACGTAGGGCGTAGCGTATAGCAAATGAACTTAAACGTCATCTGTCAAAGCGCTATATCGCCGCTATCAATTTGAATATTATCGTTTTAAAAAGCGTTTAAAATGGTGTTTTCTCAAGAACAAAAAGTGTTTATCATAGAGTCCTACTTTAGAAATGGACGCAAGATTGATGGAATATGGAAGTATTCTATTGAGGAATGTTTCATAGAATTTCAAAATCAATTTCCCGGCGTTGTTGAGTACAAAATTTTTCAAAGTGCAGTTCAGCGTTTGTTTTTCGTGAAACGGGCAGTGTAACAAGAAAAGATGGGAGCGGCCGACCTAAAAAGCGGACTGAAGAATTAAAAGAAAATGTCCAACAAATAATGGAAAATGCACCAAGAACTTCTGTACGTGTTTTATCACAAATGGTGGGAGTATCAGTCGGTACCTGCCACACAGTGTTAAAAAAAGCTCCTTTAATTGTTTGTTATTGTTATCACGATTATTCTTTAAAATAAAGTTATATAGTCATTAACGTTATTGAAACTGACAGCTGCTATACAGCTCGTTGAGAAATGAGGTTAAGTTGGTCGCTATAAGCTACTCCCTACGTCAAATGTGTCAGAGCCAACTTCGACCACGTTTTTATTTGAACGCTCGTTATAATTCTATTATAAAGAAATTTGTCAATTTCTTTTTGGCCAGCAAGCCTTGTAGATATTAATTTTTCACATCTAATATTCTCTCAATCAATGTTTCAAAGAACCAAACGGAAATGTGTGACTTTATATTGAAACAAAATTTTCTGACGGGCTAACTAGTAAAAATGTAGATGTAGATTTTAGGGGTTTAGAGTACAAAAATAATGTAAAAACCGTCAAATTGTTTATAATAATTGAATATTATCAGCGTATACTAATCGTTTTGTACTTGTAATTTTGCAATGCGATGACAGATTTTTTTTATTATATTATTACCTATTTGAAATTTTGAAAATAGTAGGCCATTTAATTTTTTCGTTGCCAACAATCGTGCTGTTTATACCTACATTGTTGTCAAACAATGTTTGTAATATGTCAAAGTGGCGTTGAATTAGTAAATCGTCAAGAAAATGACGTTTGAATGAAACGTATAACTGGATAGTTACAAAATAATGTTCACTAAATAGATGTAGGCACAAAACATATAATACAGGTACATATTTGTGCGATGTTCCTTTTTACAAGAATTTGAACATACAAATGACCGATATCGTAAAATACGTTCGACAATATCGTTTTTACGCAACCTTGGAATTTCAGAGAATATGAAACATTATTTTATGGGCGTTTTCACATCCTTATGCCAGTGCCTGGGGACCTTGCATTCATGCCATACCTGAATAGTGTCAAATAAACTTTTTAACGCGGGCAAGGGACAAGGTAAACTGGAGCAACTATGGATATGAGGGGGAGTAGTTACGCATTTTGAACGCATGAAAAAAAAAAAGTGAAATAGAAATACGTATCTGAATGTGATATAAATGTTTTGATTTCGGCGCGGGAACCTCGAATATATAGGCGTGTTAACTGTACAGGCTGGTCCATTTTCGATGGGAATTCAGGGTATTTCAGAAACTACTAAAGATATGATAAATCTGATACCACGTTCTCGAGCTCGATTTTCATGGCAAACTCGACTGTCAGATCAGAAATTTGCTATCTTCATTTGTTTCTCGTTATTGTGACACTTTTTAACATGTCTGTATCTCTGCTGTTAAATAAGTTAGAGTTAAAGTAAAAACCTGTCAAGACTAATTCTTTGGCGTAGAATTGAATGCCGAAATTATATTTTTTTAAATGGAAATCGTAGCTGACCATGGCCTAAAAAAATAGAGATTTTTTTCCGCTTTTCACTTGCTATAGTTATTTTTACAAACACGGGAGATACGGGGTGTTTTATATATAAATTATATATTTTTTTCCTTTTTAATGTGACCGGCTATGAAAATACAGAAAAAACTATAATTCTTACTTTTACAAAAGTCATATCTGTTGTAAAAATATGACATTTATTTTAAATGCACAACATATACTCGTGTGATAATATAATACTAACGAAATTTTAGGAGATAGGTAGATAGGAACAAACGGACCGATCAGATGGCCAGCTAGGTTACCTGATTTGAGTCCGTTGGACTTTTTCCTTTGAGGTTTTCTAAAAGACATTATATTTAAAATTCCTTTTAATAATATTTCAAATACCTATACATTTAATGAATGCTACCCGAAGCGTTGCCAGAAGATGCGTGAAATGTGTGACAGTTGAGGGACGGCAATTTGAACATTTAGCTATCATTTTTGAAAGTTTTTATTGATGTAGGTACTTACTATTGTTTAATTTACGTTTAATATTGTAACTTCAGTTGAAGTGGAATAAAAATTTGAAAACTCTGTCTTTTCTTATCTGTAATATATATTTTAAATAAACGTCATATTTTTACAACAGATATGAGTTTTGTAAAAGTAAGAATTATAGTTTTGTATGTATTTTAAAATGTAAAAAAGGATCGAATTTTTATATAAAACACCCCGTATCTTCTGTGTTTGGAAAAATAACTATAGCATGTGGTATATTGCTGAAAAGCAAAAAAAATCTCCATTTTTTTACGTCATAACCAGCTACGATTTCCTTTTAAAAAATTATAACTTTGGGTTATAACTCCGGAATCTTAAGACCTACTAAAAATCTAATACCGGCATTCAATTCTACGCCAAATAATTAGTCTTGAGCAGTTTTTACTTTAACTCTAACTTATTTAACAGCTGAGATACAGACATGTTCAAAAGTGTCACAATAACGAGAAACGCCCTGTAACTAAGAAACAAATGAAGATAGCAAATTACTGATTTGACAGTCGAGTTTGCCATGAAAATCGAGCCCGAGAACGTGGTGTCAGATTTAACATACCTTTAGTAGTTTCTGAGATACCCTGAAATCCCATCGAAAATGGACCAGCCTGTACAGGTAAAAAATATCAGTTGCTCCTTTTAGGTAGAAGCATTACTTGCAGATATTGGCAGGAAATCCGGTCTGTCTTTTAATCAGCCGTTAAAATAGAAAGGGACTTCTTGGAACAATTACTAATAGCAATATTAATAAGTCTATTTGCATATCAGGAGATATATCGATCTATTTTTTAGATAATATTAATTGTTTTTTTTTGTGATTACATCAACCTATACGTGTTACTCTGTTTCTCTGTCAACAAATAAAAGAATTATTACATTTTCGAAGGGCAATCAATTTTAAAAAACCGTTTGAATGTATTCGGAGAAAAGATAAAAACCGAGAGTAATATATATCATAAATTGACATTACAATTACATAACAATAAAGTGAAACATTCACTTTAAGACTGAAATTTGCGCAATTTGAATAGGAATATTTTACTGTTTAATGTTTAATATATTTAAGTAGGTTAGGTACTTACAAAATTTCGTTTTTATACTTGATTTTTCACTCGTTTTCGCATCGCTGGAAACGCAATAAAAGTTTATTTTTCCATTTTGGTGCTAGTACGGAACACAGATAAGCTAGAAAATAACCCGAAAAATTTGATGTATTTATTTTGTTAACCTATTTAATTATTCTACTTTTTCTACACTCCCCCCCCGGTAAAAAACTCGGGAGCTGGCGTTGTTGGCAACTGTTGGTAATTTTTTCTTCAGTTAAAATGTTTGTGAAAAATGGGTTCAAGGTTCAAGGTCATTTACGATTAAGAATAAGCAAAAAAATTCGATTAATCCATTTAAACTGTGCGTGTAAGTTATATTTTTGTAGAATCTGAAAAAAATTCGTATTTATAAATACATAGTAGAACCCAGTGAGACGTTTAAACAGGTTACCTTCCGTTTGAATTTGGCGCAGGTGAGTTACCTGTTGCAGCACCAATCGCAGCCACCAAAAGGAGCATGTCACCTTTAGCTACTTTCGTTTCATTTAACTGTTTTTATTTACGGGACGAGCAATCAGCAATACTTACCTATCCCGAAAGACAACATTTGTGAAAATTATGAAGGATATGGGGTCAATGAATTGAGCCCGACTGGAATAAACTGTCCTTAAACGATTGGAAAGTATGTAAACATTTCACAAAGATGGCATTTCTATGCCCTGTGCGTATCAGACGTGGAAAAAAGAAAAAATGTAAGTACGTCCATTGTCCTTTGAACTCCTGTGATTTAATTTTGGGTAATTTTCTTATTGTAGCCTCCAGTGTAGATTTGGAAAAGGAGCTGAGCAGGTCCAACAATGGGGTCACCCCAGGGATGGGTCGAATTACGGGCTCCGCGAGTATTGAGACTTTAGTGAGGGTGGGCATCGAGAAGGAACATGGATTGTCTCCGGACAGTAAAATGGTAGTTTTGCACGATTTCACTCCCTGCGTGGATGATGAATTGGAAGTCAAACGTGGACAGGTAATAGTGAAGGAATTTAATATTTAATATCGACCAAAACAACTTGACCTACTTAAGGTGTGTGTCTTAAATATATTTTTTTAATTCAAAACATTGCTGACGAAATTAAAACATAAGACATGTTTTTTCCTGTTTTTGTTGTTGACTGGTTTCCGACACGAAAAGTTATTAATTCTGAGGTTTTTTACACAAAGTTTATAAACTTTGCTTCCAAATTTAATTCTTGCAAAGTGTTAAAAAAATATAAGTGCACAGAAGACATTGAAATATAATATACTTTCCGGTTTTTCTTCTTACTAGGTGTATTTACTCATTTTTTATAGATTGTTAATATTTTGTACCGCGAGAACGATTGGGTGTACGTTATTGGACTCGACACAAGACAGGAGGGGTTTATACCCTATTCATACTGCACGCCTTACAACAATCACCTGGCGGAACTGGCCATCAAGAAGAAATTGCCCCGAGAAGCCCATTTAGCATCCGGGGATAGCTTAGACACTAACCACGACTGGTAAGCAAATATGGTTGTGTTTTGCAGATTTTTAGCATTTTTTTATAGCGATGGGGCGGGTGTAGACACAAGCGACTGTGATTCATTAGGGAAAAAGCACGGAACAGGTGCAGCTTCCCCCATTAGCATCCACTCTGAACCGGACATGATCCCTTTTTGTAAGGACCCGTCGGGAAGGTACATCGTACTGTATACTTTCATCGCCCGCGATGAGAACGATGTGTCGGTAGAGAGAGGGGAATTTGTCACTGGTAAGTTTGACGTTACTACAAATTTTATTTATTTATAGACAATTTTGTTTTTAGTAGACAAAAAGTAATTTTGTACAATATTTGTTCAAAATATTTTCTTTAAAATAAAGGAGTTCCACAGGGAAGCGAACTTAGGTCTCTGTTGTTGTGTATTTATACTCCTGATTTATCATTTGTAACAATATTTAATTTTTTGTGTTTACAATGCGTGGATGATGCAGGCACTTATTTTTTTAAATAATGTGCTGGAAAATGCCTCCTTGACTCTTAACTCAGGCTTGATAACACTTCAATTTCCTTATTTTGCATAATTCAATACTCGGTGCGAAAGAAATGCATTTACTTGTGTTTTTCAATCATAATCTGTTCAGTAATTTAGTTATTATTGTTGTTAATTAGGAAATTTCTGTATATCGCTGTTAAATTTAATAATTTTTATCTTTAAGGGACCTCTTAAATATTAATTATACATTTGTACTCTGTATAGTAAAATTAATGACAATAATTTGACGAGAGTGTTACATATCCGATGGAGTAGTTCAAACGTCTCAGTTTTAGTTGTAGATTGTCAGTAGGTAATATTGAATCAACTAACCTTAAAATTTCCAAGTTCTCTAGTGGAAAATTATACATGGTGTTTCAATTAAAATTTCCCACCTGGAAAATATTGAAATTAAAAAAAAACAGAAATAAACCTGGTCACATCGATTTTCTTCAAAACAAATTTTTTTATCGAGAAATTGATGAAGAATTTCATCAGATTATGCCCGAAATACTTCGAAATGTTCGTTCGGAAGAGGAGCAAAAATTTTATTGTGTGGAAGCAGAGGGAAACCAATTTCAAAGGGTTTTATTGTCATATCCAAACCAAAATTTAAAAAGTCATATGTCGTGGTTGGCAGAATTGAAAAAGCTTTAAAATGAGGCGTCACTCAACATAGGGTGCCATTTAAAGTTTAAGGGTATTTTACGGCCCTGCCTAAGGGGTAGTTTTAAAGACACCAAAACTTATGCCATCATGTGTCCCGGTTAAAAAGAAAATTGACCTGTCTCAGGTTTATTTGTTTTTTTTTAATTCCGATAATTTTCAGGTGGGTAATTTTAACCGCAACATCCTGTATAGTGGAAATTATTAATATTATTTTTCAGTACTTAACAGAGAAGACCCGGACTGGTACTGGATCGTGAGGAGTGACGGACAAGAAGGGTTCATCCCTTCAGGATTCGTCTATCCCGCCGATAATGTGATACAAGGCAAGATTTTAATTATTCTTTACTCTGAAGGGCAAAAAAATTCAATGTCCGGTTGTATTTGTAACATTTTCAGTGCTTTTTCCTTTCCCTTTCTAGGGCACCTGAATTCAACGAATCAAAACAGCGGTAACAACTTCACCAGTCAGACTAACACTCACACACTAACGAACTCGACCGCCGACGATTTGCGGTACCACGGCACCGAACTGGTGATGCTTTACGATTACAAAGCCCAGGCCCCCGACGATCTAACCGTCCGACGAGGCGATTGGATCTATGCCGATCTCAATAACCAGACGGTCGACGGGTGGTTGTGGGCGTACGCGCCCAAGACTAGGAAGTATGGGTTCATACCGAAGGCCTACGCCAGGCCGCCAGCTATGACCAGCCTATAACATTGCCATGCACCATGCTCAATTTTATTATTACTTTTTTAATTTCTTACATTTTTTTATATTCATATTTTTGTAAAAAGTATTTTATGCCAAATAGAATTTTCATATTTTTATCGTGGGCGTTTTTTTAGTGGTTGGGAGTTTATTATTTTTGAAAAAAAAACTGTATATTAGAGATAAAATGGTAAATGTGTATGCCGATAGCGAACTTGTTAATGTTATCAATCTACAGGGAAAGTCAGCAAAATGTTGCAGAGGCATCGTGCTGTTGCAAAGCATCGGTGAAAAGACACTTGGAGACAGCATTTCTGTTGCTTCAGGATGTCAAAGTGATTCCAGCAGAGCTGGTACTTGCCTTCTCACATAGCACCGGCTTATTTTAAACTTTGTACCAGCAGCATGCACAATATGTTACAAGATTTGAGCGTCAATTTTTACAACTATCTACGAGTACAAGGCATTGTACGCCAGTTCAGTGGTTCTTCTCAAAGGAAAATGTTCTGTGAACACTAGTTTTATCCATTCTATATATGTCAACTTCAGACTATAATCTCCAAATCATACCGCAGGAGATTGATTTTGTCGAAATAATTTTATAAAATTGCACGACCGAAATAATTTAATAGAATTGATAGAAGACATGTTGCTAAATGTTCATAAAAACAGTCAGAAATTAGAGTGTGAGATTGATTGAAGTGTGACTCGAAGGACCAAATTACTAATTTAGTTTGGGAAAATTTAATTTTAAGGTTCCAAAAGTGGTGTTTTTTGTATTCACAGGTGTGTAGAGGTCACCTTTTAATAACCGAGATATTTACATTTTAAAGGATTTATATCCTTTAGAACCAGTCTGTACTTGCCTTATAATTTATACCTATATAGAAGTTGCTGTTTTATTTTGGCCTCGATTTTTTTTCCACGTCGCGACGGAAACACTTGTACAAAAACCGATCATCACAGCGTCTTTAGCGAGCTCATATGCATAGGGCATCGTCTAGAAAGGCACCTTAATTTTTTTTAATTTTCGTGCTATTAGAAACATCATTCCAATCAATTACTAAGTTCAGTGAGGTGGAACGCTCACCTGTGTCAATTGACCAATCAAACTATATTAAATAGTTCCAAATTTTCATGCTGCCATCTGTTGTTCAGAAAGTGCACTAAACTTCGGGACAATACTTTAGCAGATAGCCAACTGTAACAGCATCATATTTACTAGTGAATTAATTGAACACACGTATAGATGGCGCCGCCTCCTTTCTTAACAAATAGATCTGTGTATTTTAGGTTAATCTATAACTACGCAAGCACTTGCACAAAAACCGACTATCTCAACGTGTTTATCGATCCCAGATTCTTATGGAACCACCTCTAGAAAGGCAGATTAGTTTTTCCGCGATAATTTTTAAGATGCAAGCGCACCAAGCGGCGAAAGCAGTAAGCTCCGAGACAAGGTAATTTTTAGTGATGGGCAGAATCGAGTATTTTTAAGAATCGAGAACTCGCCATTATTCTATGGCTAGAAATTGGCCTCAATGATTTGGGATCGAGGGGAATTATCCCTCTTTATCCTGCCTCATCTCGTGTAGGCCTGGACAGCCTTCGTAGGTGGGCCCCATCCGTCGTCTACCCCGACCGCAAATGCGGCCGGTGTAGGCGCTTTGTGGGACCTCCTTTTGTCCTGGCTGGGCCCCGCCGGCTAGGGCCCTTTCTTCTGGCGCTCTTCTTGCTTCGCCGGCTCGTCTGTGTAAACCCCGGGGGTAGTGTCATGTTTATGTGTGGTATGGTTGGGTAGGGTAGTGCGGCTATGCAGCCTGGGATGCGCTTTGCTAAGGTGGCCCTTAGGCTAGCGCGNTGAACAGTGTTAATTGTTCATAACAGATGTTCTGGAAAGCTACATAAAATATACAGAGTTCTACGTAGTGTTATATGAAATATCCAGGTTAGAATTTTCAAAATTCTAACCTGGATATTTCATATAACAGTACGTAGAACTCTGTATATTTTATGTAGCTTTCCAGAACATCTGTTATGAACAATTAACACTGTTCACGAAACACATTTTCGTAAATTTCAAGTAAAAAGATATGTATTTAATAAATAAAAATTTTGTAGTTTGAATCCGCCATTTGTAATTCGTGATGACAACATTGAGTTCCCCCACTCTCATTCAACTCTGTTCATCCCACATAAAGTTACTATAATTTTATTTATTAAATACATATTTTTTTTAGTTCAAATTTGGGAAAATGTGTTTCTTAAACAATGTTCATTGTTTATTACAGATGTTCTGAAAGCTACATAAAATATACAGAGTTCTACGTAGTGTTAACCGAAATATTCTGGTAAGAATTTTGAAAAAAATTTTTCTCAAAAACTGGGTTCGACCGCACAAAAAAACTTCAGATTCGTGTTCAGCACCATCGAAAATAGGGGGGTAGACAAAATTTTGTGAAAATTGGAGGTGGTGCCACTAAAGTAAATAATTACCGATATTAGTTTGCCACAAAATATTAAAGATGTCACGACTCACGAGTAAATCTAAAATGTAAAACCTAACCCTACTTTTCTCTGAAATAAAGTAGGAACAAGAATTTTTTGTTGGGGGCTGGGGCGGCTAGTTATTTTACCCGTCAAATTGGAAAGATGACCCATTCCGTCGAAAAAGCACTTAACTTGCTGCGGTCATTACCAAGAGTTTGCTTAGCTAATATAAAGGATCACAATAAACGGAGAGTAAGTACTGAATCGTAACAAGAATAGTGAAATAAGAAATTTTTTGTAGAAAGGCCATCGAGGCAGAGCTCAGCATGGTGGTGACAAACACGGAGCTGGTAATAAAGGCGCAGGACAACGCCAGAATTACATGAGGTTGGGTTATGAAACAGGCAACAATCCTTTCTATCTACGATTTCCTTGGGAACCGTATTACAGAGGACATCAGTAAGTGTTTATTGGTGTATATACAGGTAGCTTATTTGAAAACTTGTGTTTTTTAGCGTAAAGAGGCAATATCCTCCGCTCTCTTTGTTAGATCTTCAAAAAATGGTTGACACAAATAGAATCGACACTAACAAACCAATTGATCTGGTAGCCATCTTAAATTCTGGATTGTACAGAATGTTTCCCGACCAGAATCACTTTGGAGTCAACTTAACTGACGAAGGTGCAGATATATTCGATGCAAAGATTAATATAGAAGTGCAGTGGGCTAGCGAGTTAGTTATTGCGGCGGTAGAGAGATCTGGGGGCGTTATCACGACTGCCTATTATGATCCTCACACCCTAATGGCCATGATAAATGCCAAGAAATTTTTTGAAAGAGGTAAAGAATTGATATAACTTTAATAAAGGATAAATATCAAATTAAACTACTTTTAGGTATTCCAATACCCCGTAGGATGATGCCACCACCGGACGCGATAGAATATTACACGGACCCCACGAAAAGAGGTTACTTGGCCGATCCAGAGAAAGTATCTGAAGACAGATTAGTTTTGGCTCAAAAATATGGTTATAATTTACCTAAAATAGAAGACGATCCGGATTACAAGATGTTGACCGAACGAAAAGATCCGAGGCAAATATTCTACGGGTTGCACCCCGGATGGGTCGTAAATTTACGGGATAAGGTTATACTTAAACCACAAGATGAAGAATTGGTTGAATATTATAAATCGTAACTTTGATTTAGGTTTTCGTAATAGGTAGTAGATTTTATTGAAATAAAAGATAAAATAATTGAAAATTTTAATTTTTTTATACACCGTTATTGAAAGTGATAAATTCGCTGGCTGATTTTCATCGGAATACATACCACAGGTTTTGATTTAAGTTATTTAATTGTGAGAATATTCTAACTCGCAAATATAATTACTTATCTTGTTATAAGTAAGTCTATTTGCAAAAGGTTAAACATGCTGTGATGCTGAATGCAGTTTTGGATTGGTGAGGCCACTTATAGTTCAAAGGAATTTTTTCAGATTTCTCCGAGCCCTAAAACTTTTTGAAAAAATCGATGGACATAGTCTATGAAAATTGTCAAAAAATTAATGCGCTCATGTCTAGGCGGTATAATATCCATATGAGTAACTATTTATTTAGTCTTATGGCGGTATCGTAGAATACGCAACTGGAGTAAAAGGTCGCTGCAGGGCCCGAGAACTTATACTTGAAAATATGGGGAAACTGGGAACCACGTGACTTGAGATGGATATACAAGTTGGGGAAAGAGTCTATAGATGTCGCCACAAAGATTTTGTAGAATAAATTTTGACAATTGCAATTATGAATCATTTCATGTCATTCTTGTTCATGTTTATTGTTTATTGTTGGTTAGGTTTGGCGAGTGTTGGTGTGTGTTTTATTTGTGTTTTTAGTGTGTTTTATTAGATATTTCATTCACATTTATTTATATAACATAATAATGTCTGATCATCATATAATCACATTTTTTATTAATAATAAAATTTTTTTTTTTTTTTTTTTTTAATAAAAAATGTGATCAGAGGTAGGTAGTTTTTTTTATGGATATCAACACAACGAAAAATTTAAAGTTGCATAATAAATCTCTATTACAAGAATTAATCAAAGATTGGTTTAGTAAAATTATTTACTTGTAATATTTTTTTATTCACCGTGAAAGCTAATACAATATAGAAAGCACTGAAACTCTATAATCATTTTCACTCTTTTTTTTTCAAAATATGTACTGAAATTTGAAATTTTTTCAACAAACATTTTAAAAAGTTACAGTATCAAAATTATTTCTTATTTTAAGTAGGAAGACTATTAGAGCATTTAAAAGTGTCTTTAATGCTTGAGTGATTTTAATGCTTTTTATCAAATGTACTTATTTTCTCATGGTGACAAAAAAAATTATCTACGTGAAAATTATTTTACAAAATCAATTTCTGAGTGATCTGTGTAGGGTGAGATTTGTTATGTAATTTTAAATTTAGCGGCGGCAGAATACCTAAAACAAATATTGAGTAGGTAGGTATATAGTTGTAGAGCGTACAACTAGATGGCGCTTGCATCTTTTACCGGCTACAGGTAATTTAACTCACTGTATTACCGATAATTCCTAGAAAAGGAAAGCACTAGAAGTTGGAAAAAGTGTCAACAGTTAGCGATGTTAGTGACCACGAAATCTGTTCAAGTTTCCTATCTATAGTATCATTTATCTAGGGGTCGCTGTCGCTAAACAGGCTTAGGCCTGTGTATAGATGGCGCCATCTATACACTAAAAGTTGAATTAATTCACTAGTAAATGTGAGACTATTACAGCTGGCTACGGCTAGAATTATTTCGCAGATTAGTGCAATCTATGAGCGACAGATGGTGATATGAAAATTTGGAACTATTTAATGCAGCTTGATTGGTCAATCGACACAAGTGAGCGTTCCACTTCATTGAACTAATAATTGATTGGAATTATGTGTGTCCAGATGCACGAAAATTTTCAAATTGGCGGTTCAGGCGGTTGGGTTTTTGTGTGCGTCCGTCGAAAAAAAAAAAAAAAAATCGAAAATCTCCCCTTATAGACTACCGAATTTTTTTCAGATTTTTTTGAGAAAATCGATGGAAAAAGTACTCATCTAAAGGCGGTTTTGTCTCAACTTTGAGAATATATTGTACGGAGAATATTTTGTTCTACTGAGCAGAATGAAAAGTCGTATCTTTAAAGTGATCGCATTGGCTGTATCGAAGAAAAACCGGCTTAGGTATTTCTGCATAGAGATGTTTTTTTCTCATTTCTTTTTATTGTGAACTGTTAACCTACATTAGAAAATACAGAAATTATTATATTTACTGTTCTACAAATAAAGGAAGATTTATTTTTAATTGTGTTGTTCATTTTTAATGCATTTACCTATAATCCTTCTCAGTCCTTGCTCATTAAAATACGTTCCTTTTTCTATTCAGTTATAAAAAAATATAAATAAAGAATTGGGGACCCCTGTAAAATACTAAAAAGTTTTAGAATTCTTATGCAGCCAAGTTTACACTAGCATTGTATTGATGGTTGCCTAACGAATAAAAAGAAAATTTTCTCCTTATTTTCACTATTTGTTTAAGGAAAATGAATTTTAATTAATTATTAGCAGGCGTCTGTTGTAGTGTTTGAATTTAAACAACAATTGTAGTGGACAATGGACATCGTAAAGCAGGTAGGTAGTAAAATAAAGTTTTTTTCCAAGACTTTATTTATGAATGTTAGCACAAATACAAAATTAACCTAAAAAACAAATTCAAGAGGCAAATATTTCACTAAACAAATTAATTTATATGGAAATGATTATCATATTCAATTTTCTTCCCTGTAGAATATTTTTAATTCTACATGGATATACATTTAGGACAGGAATTGAGAAAAATAAAATCCAAATTTATAAATTAAGTCCGATTTTAGGTATACTTAAAAACTAATGCATTAATGAGAAAATAGATAACAAATAAAATTGTTCTAATTTACCTAATAAAAAAAATTGCTAAAGTTCGAATTGCGAGCGATTTAAAGTGTAGTTTACAACAGAACATTTATATAAAAAGCATGTGAACAGTATCTAGCAGAAGAATGTTCTTTGTAATAACGAAATATTGTTGAAATCTAGAAGCAACAAACAGCCAACAACGTAAAAGTTGGAAATCGGAATTAACTAATCAATGTACGTGTATATATTCTTTTTTATTTTACACAGTTTAATAATGTAAAACAATGCCCAACAAGATATACAAGGACCTTAAAATTAACAATTCCAAATCTTTATACTTATTTTTTTTTTTAAATCATAAAACCACTGTCAACAGTGTACAAATATTCTAAATTATAAGAAAATAATTTTAAATTATTATTTGAATATAATTATCCTCACAGTGATGTTCAAAGATATATAAAAGTGAAAATACAATCACGTTACGCCATATAAAATATTATACACTGGTTCTATGAATTATCCAAACGTATCCTACCTCTACGTGTATTTTTAACATCAAATATAACGCATGCTGCACACGAACAGTATGAAATGAACTTACGACATAAACACTACATAACATGACGTTACGTTACAAGTAACGTATTATGTATTTGATTTTCTATAGACTACGATTCAAGTTATAATTTAATCAACTCCATCTAGTACAGTAAGATCCTTTTCTCTACGGCCTTCCTGCAAATTGGACATTCCGTCATCTGATCTCCGCACATCTGACACAAGCCGTGTCCGCATAGGAAGATCATGTTTTTCAGACGGTCCAAGCAAACGGGGCACATGGTCTACAAATACAAAAATGAAGTTGTTCATAATTGCTCTTGAATTATTTTGTTTTGATGTGTTCAGTTTAAAATACCCCAAGTCCAATATTTGAAAACCAAAAGCATTAAATTTGAATTAAAATTTTTGAAACAAAATTTTTCCCTAGAACTAGGAAAAAACTGTAAATCTGGCATCGCTGGGATCAGGTGCAATGACGAATAGAAAAATATCAGAATCTAATGCAATTAATATACAGTTAACTCAGCAAAAAAATTAAAAGAGCAAAGAAATTTCCAAATTTTTTTCAGTGATTTTTGAAAGACTGTAACTTCGTGAATAATGGCCGTATCGAAAAAAAAAGAAGCATATTGAAGATTGTAGTTTTGAAATTTTGAAAAAAAATTTTTTTGAGCATCACCCTCTGCGCAAGGAAATATGCAAGGCAAAATTTAAAAAAAAATTTTTTTCGAAACCACAAGGGCTCAGACATTTTTTTGGCTTAATAAATGCCAGGGTCATTTAACCTGATTCATAAGCTTCAATTTGTTTTTTTTTTGTTTTCTGTATGATTATTTCTCATTGAGATATCGGCTATTGATTGAAAAGTAACCTTTTTTTTTTTGATCATCAATATCTCATGAACTGATTATCGTACAGAGAATGGAAGATGGGTTTTAGCAACCTGAATCAATCCTCTTCAATGGCCTTTTGGTATGTTTGAGATTTTTTTTTATACTCAGCATTAATTGAAAAAGTGCAAAAATGACTTTTTCTGCTGTTTTGGAAAGGAGCAATTAATGATTAAGATGAAACAATTTTTTTTGCGTTATTTTCTCACAACTTCTCGTTAAATACTCATCAAATATCGAAAAAAAAAAAATTAATTTTGAAAAAAACAATTTTTCAAAATTTTTTTTTAATTTCAAAAAATAATTTTTTTCTCGACATTTCAAATATTCAATGCAAAATTGTAATAAAAAAGAGAACGCAAAAAATTTTTAAAAAATTTTGAAAAATTTTATTTTATTAAATTTGGAAATTGAATTTTAGTTTATTTGCATCTATAAAAAATTTATTACATTCCGAAATTCTTTATTTTGTACAAAATCCCTGAACAACATATAAAATTCCCTATTTCCCTAATTTCACAAATTTGGAAACTTTTTCCCTAGAACTAGGGAGAAATCCGCAAATCTGGCATCGCAGGGGCCAAGTGCAATGATGCCAGACAGATAGATATGAAAATACCTAAATATTAAGCAGAAACTCCCTAGAAAGTTTTATTAATATATTTTCTGGCTGTAAAATCAAATGAGCAGGTCACTGAATTACCTTAAACAAAAATTGTACGAATTTATTTGCATGAATGAAAAATTTGTTATAGTCTCACATTTTTTTTCTCCAGTTTCCTAAGTTCACAAATTTAAAAGTATTTTACCCTAGAACTCGGGAAAATTCACAAATCTGGCATCACTGCGGACTAAGCAGAGTGATGCCAGATAGACAGACTTGAAGAATTGAAAATGACCTAGATATTAAGCAGAAATTTCCTAGTACGTTTTATAAACTTATTTTATGACGTAAATTCATAGGAAGGGGTGGGGAGAGGCAGGTGAAATTGCAAAATTTAGCGAAGTGAATTGTATTCAGAAAAAACTCAATGTCAAAAGAAATTTTACATTAATGAAAAATTTATTATACTATAAAACTCTATATTTTTGTTGAAAAGTACAAAATCCCTCTAGATATCACGTAAAATTCCATATTTCCTTAGTATCACACATTTGGAATATTTTCCCCTAGAACTAGGGAAACATTCCCAAATTTGGCATCAATGGGGCCAAGTGCAGTGATGCCAGATTTGAAGACCTGAAAATGCCCAGCAATCAAACAGAAATTACCTACTATGTTTTATAAATGTATTTTGTGATTTAAATTCGAAGGAAACAGTGAAAATTAGCGAAGTGAACTGTTTTCTAATAAAAAAATAATTAATTGTCAAAACAAATTTATCAAGTTACTGAATTGTCTTTAAAACATAAAAGCACAACATTCCTAGATATCATATAACATTTTTTATTTCCCCAACCTCGCTAATTTGGAGTATTTTTCCCTAGAACTAGGGAAACAATACCAAATTTGGCATCACTGGGGCCAAGTGCAGTGATGCCAGATGGACAGACTTGAAAATAACTTGATATTAATCAGAAATTATGTAGTACATTTTATTAACATATTTTTGACGTAAATTCTTAGGAAAAGGGGTGAAAAAGTGAAATTTAATGAAGTGAATTGCTTTCTAGAAAAACTGCCAGAAGAAATTTATCGAATTATTGATCTACCTTTCAAAAAAAAATTTTGTTTTTCACCAGTTTGGAGTAATTTTCCCTAGAGCTAGGGAAATATCCCAGAATCTGGCAACATGTCACCACAATATCTTTCAGCAGAATTGAGACATGTCCTTTAATTTTAGAGACATCAGGCTGGGAAACGGTAGAAGCCTCGCTCACCTGTTCCTTGATGTCCTGCAGCTGCTGCTGCAACTTCTGGATGTCGTTGGTGTTGGTGGTGTCCCGACCTCCATTGTTCATCAAAGGTCCTTGAGGAACAGGAGCCTCGCTGGTAGAGGGCTTGACTTCCTCCTCGACATCGGCTTTAACTTCTGAGATGATGCCCAGTCCTCCGGCGCAAACCGTCATCGGGACCATCAGCTCGATCTGGGCGCGGCACATCACGCACTTCTTCATGATCTGGGAGCAGCTCTCGCAGGCGCACATGTGGCCGCAGGGCTTGAAGAGGACAGCCGATTTCTTGTCGGAACAGACAAGGCATTCCTCGATCTAGAAAAAAAAGGTGAGTTGTATTCTACGATAAACGTACCAATAAATTATCAGGTTTATCCTACCGATTTTGCCAAATACACATTTTAATAGTCATTATTTCTTACATTCTGCAATTTGTAGAAACTTTTGAAGATCTTCTTCAAAAGCTTCAGCCTTCAATGGCAAAATTTTTGCAATCATTTATAACGAAACAGAAACAAATTGCAAAGCATATTATATAAATTAATGAATCAATTAAATTGTCCCACAGAATTGCGTCCTCAGGCCATTATGGTTTCTAACTTGCATGAACGACTTTCCAAATTATGTCAAAAACGCTATAATAATTATATTGTTCATGGTTTGCAAATGATATAACAGTATCCAAGTAAATAATAATTTGAATAAACTACTACAAGATATGCAGAATGCTGAATCAAACTCTTTTAATTGATTTGCAGCTACTTTGTTACAATTATGTTCATTAAGCAGGTATTTTATCGAAATTTTGTTTTGTAATTAGAAATTTAATATATAACTTCCATTTAATCAATATATAAAAAAAACTATCTCACTTATTTATACGTTTGTTTATACACTATTAATATGGTGGACTTTCTACTCATTTGCATGGAATTTTTAAACTTCAAAGACACGATCTGAGAATAGTGACATGATTGGAGTTTCTACAAGATGTAAAACACGAATTCATTGAATGGAACATATGACAATTCCTAGTTGTTACATTTTTAGTTGTTAATCTGTGTTAAAAATAATTACTAGATATTTTTTTCATAGCGGAAAATTTAACACCTTTATTAAAAAAAATTTAATTTTGCTAGTCTTTCGATAAAATTACACAAAATGACATCTGTCAAACTGTCATTTTGGGATAATCGACGGCGGTCTAGGGACTTTAAAAATCCCTATCACTCTTGTTCGCAATATAAATAAGGACAACAGGAATCTTACGGGAGTGTCGCCATCTATCATTTTCATTTTTAAGTTTGACTGATTGGTTAACATCATAGATCTAGTAAACTATGGAGTGGCCCTAGAAAGAGGGGGTTAATCGCGCTGATGTGTGCAAGACAGATGAAGCTAGTGCAGGCAAATACCGGTACAAAATACCGTAAACAAACCTTAGAGTAAAAGTCATTTAAAAGATTTCTTAAATGTTTGTGTGTGATTTAGTGTATGTGAAACATTTGTGAAAACCAAATATGGTGCAATCGTCTTCAGCGATCAATTGCGTAAAGTGACGCTTAAGTGGAGAAAAAACAGAATTTCATAGGTAGAAAAGAGGTTATGAAGGTACCAACATTTTTATACCTTTTGCATCTTTCTGAAAGTAATGACCAAGTAGAGTTGTCTCTGTTGATAACATATTTGATTATATTATTTCCTCCATCCTCAAAATAAAATGTCATTTTGACATCAAACTTTTGCCACTTTAAATGTGTCACACTTCAAATTATTTTTTAACATCAAACTAAATACACATAAATAGACAATTTCAACTGAATTGAGCTTATAATATGCTTCAGAAAAACCTCTCTTTAAATAATATGTTGAAAAAGAGCATCTATAATATAGTTTTTTTTTAATTTAAAATAACTACTTCAGAAGAGCTTGCAGTAATTTTAACTGATCGAGCTTACGATATGAGGAAAATAAATGGAGAAATACATAAAGAAGGCATTATAAAAACTATTTGGAAAATTGTAACTACGAATATTTTTTAAATATGTATAACAAAATATCTTTGAATTTCTAATTATTACATTCTCTAGTTAATATCTCCAATTTGTACAGAAATTCCATATAAACAAATAGTGCTTATGCTCTTATTCATTAATAATAATTAAAATTACTGGTACAAATATGTATTGTTAAAAGAAGAGAAATCGAATTTAATTCAGTTTGAGTTGAGATAAAAGAATTCTTAATACCATAAGTGAAGTTTTACTCATAGAATTAACATATCTACACATTTTTAAAGGAATTATTTGTCTTCTAGTCTCTATCTATACTATTTTTATAAAGCCTGTAGATGTAGATCTGAAATTCATCGGCTGTCCCTTCTGCCATTCATCTGAGTATAATTAAAAACCTAATCAATAATTCTTCAAAATTTTTAACTTAACCATTTTTTCAGTGTAGCCACCACACATAAATGTAGTTAAAATCATTTTAACTTCAAACGGGAATACGGCCCAACAGAAAAAAGGGGTAAGGAATCGAGTATAGCTAGCTGATTGGTTGAATTAAATGTAGAGCGCTACAGTCGAAGTTCTGTGAACGAAGCATAAGCCTGCACTAGCTCTATCTCTCTCGCACACATCTGTGCGATATAGGCAAAATGATAGTTGCACGAGTCCAGTAGTTTATAAGGTTTATGGGTAACATCGACTGATTCTTGTCTTGTCTCTTTTGAGATTAGATTTTAGGTCTTGATTATTTGTTGCACNTTTGAGTTATCTTGAAAAAGCCCTTTGTTTTATCTTTTTCCACCCTTGGCCGGGGGTTGAACAAAAAATTACTCTCACTTATTGTTATAATATACCTTAAACTAACTCATATCAAAAATTCAGCCAAGTTGGCAAAATTTCGATTTAAAGGCTTAGTTAATTGGACTAAAACCTCTTTAAATAATATGTTAAAAAAGAGCATCTATATAGTTTTTTTTTAATTTAAAACAACTACTTCAGAAGAGCTTGCTGTAATTTTAACTGATCGAGCTTAGGATATGAGGAAAATAAATGGAGAAATACATAAAGAAGGCATTATAAAAACTATTTGGAAAATTGTTACTACGAATATTTTTTAAATATGTATAACAAAATATCTTTGAATTTCTAATTATTACACTCCCTCGTTAATATCCAATTTGTACAGAAATTCCATATAAACAAATAGTGCTTCTGCTCTTATTCATTAATAATAATTAAAATTACTGGTACAAAAATTTATTGTTAAAAGAAGAGAAATCGAATTTAATTCAGTTTGAGTTAAGATAAAAGAATTCTTAATACCATAAGTGACGTTTTACTCATATCTACACATTTTTAATAGAATTTTTTGTCTTCTAATCTCTATACTATTTTTGTAAAGTCTTTGTAGATCAGAAATTCGTCGGCTGTAATTTCTGCCATTCATCTGAATATAATTAAAAACTTAATCAATAATTTTTCAAAATTTTTAACTTAACCATACTTTCAGTGTAGCCACCACACATAAATGTAGTTAAAATCATTTTAACTTCAAACGGGAATACGCCCCAACAGAAAAAAGGGGTAAGGAATCGAGTATAGCTAGCTGATTGGTTGAATTAAATGTAGCGCGCTACAGTCGAAGATCTGTGAACGAAGCAAAAGCCTGCACTAGCTCTATCTCTCTCGCACACATCTGTGCGATATAGGCAAAATGACAGTTGCACGAGTCCAGTAGTTTATAAGGTTTATGGGTAACATCGACTGATTCTTGTCTTGTCTCTTTTGAGATTAGATTTTAGGTCTTGATTATTTGTTGCACTATTACACTAATGAGTTAACAATAATAAGTTTTTAGTGATTATTAAACCTTATTTGTACCAAGTTCAAAGTCAGTGTTGTCTTAAAATTTATTTCAACAGAAAAAATATTTGATCATCATAGTTCCTCTATCTGAATTGACTCCACAAATTGTATGCAAGGCTATTCAACAACCACAATAAATAACTATATTTTATAATAACAATGTGATACCTTAATTCTGGTAGCAACAGACTCCCTGCATATAAGGCATTTCTTAACCCTTGGGCCGCAGGCAGAGCAGCAGGTCACGTGACCACAGGGCTGGAACAGCATGTCTCTCTTGGCGTCCGAACAAACCAGACATTCGTCTAGCGTGGAATTGATATTCGAGTTTTGAGTATTCTGGTTGGGCCCCATCTCCATCTCTCCGCTCTGCTTGTCCTTGTGGCACTTGGTGAGTGTCTTGCACAGGTTGGGATCGGGACAGAGGTCCAGGGGTGTTTGGCCCTTCTTGTTCTTGATCGCAAGATCGGCCCCGTTCCCTGCCAGAAAGCAAGCGATGCTGGCCGATGATTTCTTATCGGAGCCCTGGGTTCCCAAGCCCATGAGCAGCTTGCCGACATCCTGGACGTCTTGCAGTTGGCGTAGCTGCGAGAGGGTGTGGTGACGTAACGCCTCGTGGAGGGGCGTGTCGCCGTCTTTATCGGCTATGTTCAGGTTAGCCCCTTCTCGAACCAAAAGCTGGAATACCCAAAGAATTATTTACAAGCTACGTTTCAATCCAGAAGGGTTGAAGCTACTTACCCTGACAATTTGAGTGTGTTGACGTTCGACAGCCAGGTGCAGGGCGGTCTGCAGGTTCACATTCTGCAGGTCCATGTTGGCTTTTCCTTGGAGGACCAACTGTTCGGCTACTTCGACGTGGTTGTTGAGCGCGGCTAAGTGGAGGGCGGTGTAGCCATCGTCTTTCTTTTCATCCACGATCCAGGGGCGCGGGAGCTTCGCCAGGAGGATTTTCATGGCGCTGAAACAAAAATGTGTTCCGTATATTTTGCGGTACGATACAAACAAAATCGCATCACATATTTTATTCCTCTGACTTTGTCGATGCACATGACATGTTTTATTTCGACTCACTCAAAAGTCGGTATCGCTGCCCCAATTATGGAAATCTGTGGTATCTTTATAGAAGATTTATACTATTAGGCCAGTCAAATTAACGAAAATATCTCGGTTTTTTTTTGCCAAAATTTAGTTTAGTAAACAAAGTCACGTAAAAATGCTGTTGAATGTTAGGACTTTATTTTCAAAATGACATCCAAAGTTCGCAAAAAAGTTTTCTTTCATAAAATAAAAATAATATTTTAGAAAAAATGTTTCATATAAAAGTTATAGATCTTTTTATAACAAAAATTTCGAGCCCAGCCCGATGTCACTTGAGGGTTGCTTTCGCTGTACAGCAAAAATAAAACGCTCTCTCAACGGTCCAAATAAACTATTTTTATTGAAAACTAAGCTTGTGGAAAAAGACGTGTTGTCGGTTCGAATGTTTGGTGGAGAGTCCCTGTGTGTGGAGTCGGTCGTAGGTAGCTTGGTAGTCGCTGGCAGAAGTCCCTGGTCCTTGGCGCCATTCTGCCGGGGTCGTCTTCCGGGAACCGCGTGGTACGTCCGGCGGCGTTCTTGACGTAACGCTTAAAAATGGGCCACTTGCGAACATGTGTACCAACAATCGCATTTTTTTTTTAAACTATATCTTTAAAACGAAAGAATGATTTTTTTTAAGAAACTTTCAGAATATGTAGTCCTTGGCAAGTAGAATAAGAGCATTTTCATAAAACAAAAAACTACTTGATAGTTTTTGCAAAAATTGAATTTTTCAAAAAAAATAAAATTTCTTCCAAGTTTCAATAAATCATACAGTAATGCACTTACGTGACCCATATTGGGTTTAAAATTTTCTCTAAGATTTGGACTTTCCTGTGCAAATTGTGGACGTATTGCAAAATAATTGGAAATATGCGAAAAATCTACGGAAACAGATATTTTTTTTGGGTCGAAAAATGTAATCTTTTTTTTTTCGTTGAAATTTAATCGGAATGGCAGATGGCAATCCATCTGAAAGCTGAAATTTTTTGACTAACTTAAATAAAAATACGACTAACAGGCCGAGAATTTTTTATTATTTATTTTTTAAATCGTTACGACCCCATTTATTAATATTAAGGTGGCCATATCCCTGTCCGAGAAATAGTCAAATTTCTGGCGTTTTTAGATACTGAAATATTGAAAAGTAAAACGTGTAGAACAAAAGTAATAGGCTATTGACTATGTCAAAAAAGAGGGTACAAAGGAACTACAACGCAACAGAAATTTTATTGTTTGATATGTTCAATTGACCCTAAAAAATGATAAAACCGCGGGGTGCTATCTTTTAAAGGGGTGCGTTTTTGAGAACGAAGTAAAAAGGTGGTATTTTCAGTTTTTTGAGTTTTACTAGAAAACTATGCATTTTTTCACTATAGTTGTCAACAGAAAAGTTGTAGCAAATTGAATTTCCAATCGAAATGAGACCTTTTGAAGTCAAAAAAATTTATTTTTAACAAAAATATGCCCAAAAAACGAGTAAAAAAACCCAAAAAATGCGTTTTTTTTCTTTTTGGTTTTTGGCCCACAACTTTTTTCTGAGCGGAGTTAGGTATAGGCATTGCTTCACAGAAAAAAAAGTTAATGTTTTTTCCTTTAAAATAAGTGTTTATAAAAGTACGTACGACTAATAGAAACCGAGATACATTGGATCAAAGTTGACCTACTTTTTGAATTTTTAGCCAGTTTTTGCCCTTTTTGACGATTTTCGTCTTATAACTTTTTTCTGAGTTAATTTACGTATATGTAATGCCAATATTCAAATGAAAGCTGGTTCAAGACCTTTAAAATGGTGCCTGGTAGAAGTTTGTACAATTAAAATCAACCGATAGGTATGTCAATTTAACCAACGATACTTTTTCTTATTATTATTAAATTTTTGTTACTTGTTTGTATTATTTTGTCTAAAAAATTTATTTTTGTGAATGTGAAAGTTAAAATAGTATATTTTCAATATTAATATCAATGTCGTCGTCATCATTTTCATCAATGTCCTCTTCAGAAAAATCAGGCTCATAAGCATTCTCACAATTTATTCCCATACATTCTTTGCAGAACATTGAACATTTTATTCCCAACTTTCGGCAGCCACAGTTTCCTTGGCATCCTTAAACACATTTACAGGCTATTTTTTCATGTAAATTTTCAGGTGCAGGAGATTTATTATTAAAAATGGGAACTAGCCCATTTATGGAATTTTTCCAACCCCAATCAAGGGGATTTAAAGTACAACCATTCCACTGTTGCATCTGAAATTATTGGGACCCGTAAATGCTTGCTCCGCTGGATACGTTGATGCTTGTTGTGGGGAGGGTGGGGAGAGGGGGGAGAGGAGGAAGAGAGAGAAAGTCTGCGACACAACGAACCGTTCAAATTTGAGCAAGCACGCCGAGCTTTAACTGAGAAAATCTTTTTTCGTTTTAAAGATAAAGTTTTTAAAAAATGCAATATTTTTAGCCTTTTTTCTACAATAACTAATACATTTGTTTATCAATTGACAGCGGGTTGGGTTCAAAATTTCTGTTATAAAAAGTTCTACAACTTTTGTGTAAAACATTTTTTTCTAAAATGTTTAGTTTTTTTTTTAATGAAAACAACTGTCTTTTTGCGAACTTTTGGGCGCCACTTCGAAAAAGAAGCCCTAACATTCAGCTGGAGTAAAGTAGTTCATTCAACTCTACGGAATTTTTCCTAATTTTTATGTGTTTTTGTTTACTGAACTAAATTTTGACACGTAAAAATTTAATTTGATTGGAATATCGTCATAAGCGTATGAGGCGAAACCCCCTCAACTCGCCGCCTTATTTACGCACCGAAGTGCCGAACTCTGTTTACAACGTTTCGACCACCTTCTACATATTTAGCAGCGGTCTTCAAAGCAAGTATAATATAGAAATAAAACCTTAGGAATGGCGTCACTGCCAAATTACCAGAGAATTTCGCATTTTCCCATATTAATTTAACAGATAGAGATCCATCCATAAAACGACCCAGTTTGCATAAATACACCCCCTTTTCGCGAGCTCGCGCGTGCTAGGATTTACAAGACGGGCGACGTCGTCGAAAATAATAAAGTCAAAAGGGGAACAGCAGTTTTAGTCGGCCGAAGATATCGCAAGAGCAACGAACCCGAGGCCTATTTCATTTATATAATAACCAGATATATTCCTCCAAATGGCGGGGCTTATTGAATGAGCCCCAGATTTATTTTATATAAACCGATGGGTGCGGGGATCGATGGGATTCCGACGATTTTGCGTCTCCGTGGCATATAGCTTAGATAAAAGGTCCTGGTTGTGGAAAATTACATTCCCGGTTTGAAAAAAAGTGTCACCCGCAGATTATTTTCAGTCATATGTTCCGTGAGTCCTAAAAAAGTGTTGGTTGCACCAAATTGAAATGGAATATCTTTAAAAAAGTGATTGTCAAAGATATGACAATAACTAAAAAAATTGTTATTTATGGTACTGTCCTTGGTTAAAATTTCAAGTTGTCAATGTCGGAAAAAGTAATTTAACGAAATGAACGTGTCAACCTAAATTGTGTCTGTAACCAAGGGTTGTCAGTATATCCACATCATGATTTCAAATACTAAAACGAACAAACCAAGAAGCTTCGCTGTGTTAAATGAAGGATTTTGTGTTAATCCAATTGAATCAATTAGAAAATATTCTAAGCTAAGGCCTTGAAATGTGCAGCATAAAAGGTTCTTTTTCAATTTTCAAACCGGAAATGTGTTTGTATTAATTAGCTATAAAAAAATCCCTAATGTTGCGCGATTTTTGGGCTTGACATATTCTAATTTATATACAGGGCATGGCTTGCGTCGCGCATCTGCACCTCTCTTGGCTAGTGCTGGAGGGGATAATACAATACTCAAACGTCACGGTGGATAGAAGTCATTTACCGTGGCAGAAGAGTCAATTTCCAGGAAAATTGATATTGCTAAAAAGACACAAGGGGTGCAGACTCCTGAAGTAAGCACAAGCAAAAGGGCAACATGTTCTATAAATTTACCACAATCATAAAATTATTCCAATAATGCTTTGGCATCAAATTACGGCTTTACCATAAATGTTAATGTTGATATTAATAAGTAGGTAGATTGTAAGTTTGTAGCATTTTAGGTTATTTGTTGACTTATTACTGTTTCAAATTGGTTTTCTAATAAAAACTAGAAAAATAAACCAAACATTTGTCTTTTTATGATTTCTACTTATAGGCCACATTATTCTTTTAAAACCAAAGAAATTATAGGATCATTATACATATACAAGTGTTGGATAAAGATAATAAAATAGTTGTTTCAAAATAAGCGTTAATGGAGGTAGACTTTTATGAATTTTGCTCTTATTTTTGGTTACTGAATCATGTGTAGAATATTGTCTGGAATACTGCAACAACTATGGGCGTAGCCAGTGGGCAGGGGACCCTCCACTTTTTGCGGTGTGCTGCAACTTTAAAAAATTACGTTATTATTACTGGACGCATTTTAACAATGTATTTTTGGTATTTTTGAAACCACGACATACAATACCCTTTGTTCAATAAACTATAGTAGGATCGTATTCGATGCAAAGTAGAGCAAAAAGTTGTCGGTCTTTTATCGAAGGAAAATCGTGTCATCATTTTTAGGAGGCGTAAGATGAACCATTTCAAATTTAAAATGAAATTGAATGTAAAATCTGAAATACCGCTGCATACGCACTGTGTTCTGGTAGTAGCTGTAGTCGCCCAGGTGCATCGAGTGTACGAAGTGGTCGGTTATACGTCAAATACTAACCTGGCGAGCTTGGTCGTAAAACAGAGAGTGCCTCCAAAAAACAAGTAAACAGTGGCGCATACAGAGGTAAAATGTCGTACATATGTGGAATTTAAAAA